TTATTCAGTCCAACCCTACTCGGAGCCTTTACACCGGCTAATTTCTTCTCTCTAGGTGACTCCTAACGTGTCATGTCTTCCCCCAGGAAAGCAAAATTGAGGTATCACAAAAAAAAAAAAGTAAAAGGAGAGGGAGAAAAAGCAAACTGAGCAAAGTCTCTTTCAAATAGGAAAGGTGAGCAGAGAACAACAGGGTTAAAGTTTTTTTTAGCTATCAGGTATAATTAAAGACATGGAGCCAATGTCAGATGTGACAGCATGTCTCTCAAAATTAAACTGGTTTTAGCACAACTTAAAACCACAGCAGGCCCCTCTCCAAAATAATAATGCATCACAATATGGTTTGATGTAGAGGCGGATTATTCCAAGCAATAAATTGTATCAACAATTTCAGCTTAAAGCTTTAGAAATGTTTCCATACATGACAATAGTAAGGTTGCATTTTTTAACCAGAGGAATTGTAACATTTTTAAACACCTTATGGTAACTGTTGTTTTTAAGAAAATGAAGAAAATAATTCACTTTTATACAACCAGAAATTTTAGAAAATCATATATTGAAATTGTGAGAAGATCTCAAACTTTGCAAACTTATCAACATATTATGAAATGTGGTATACGAACAGTTAATTATGGGCTACCTTAATGACCTCTACAGATTGCTGTACGCTGAATTATTTATTAAAAGACATTAAAAATATGTCTCAAAAAGCAAGCAGTTTAACTCAATTCCAAAAAAGTTGTGAAGTAAACAAAAATAATGCAAATTAAAATGCTTGAACTGAGAAAATTAACTTTTTTTCAATTTGATAGCAGGAAAGTGTCTCAAAACAGCAACAAAAGGCTGGAAAAGTTCTAATAAGTTCTAATAATAATGTTTGTAAATCTGTCACCAACTACAATATAATATCATCAAAAAATCTGAGAATCTTAAGAAATTTTTGCTCATAAGGGACAAGGCCCCAAATGTGGATGGTGATGGTGAGCATCACCATCCACAGATGCAGGTTAAAACTCCAGCATACAAAGAAGGAGCCAAATATGAATGGAAGTCTCACCAGCACCAAGTGGAAAAAAGGACATTTTTCCTTTTTTTGGAAACAGGGATGCCACAGCCTCCCAACTAAGAAGCAAATGTGCCTTCCAGCTTATTATTAGGTTTATGAGATTGTGAGCCATTACATTGTGTTTTTATTTACACTTTACAGAGCATTTCTACTTTTTTGAAAGATCATATGGATTACAGTCTAGGTTTACACATTTTTCCATGTGTCTCAAACTTATGTCAATATGTTTCATAGATGACGTTGTATCCATTTGATCATGAGCTGTTTCTGTCTTTCTCCACACTTTGCCTTCCTCATTCTACAAAGTTTATTTTGGCTGTGGAATAAATTTTGCATCCATCATTCTGGTACAAATTTATTTTTCTTTCATCCATTTATTTGTTTGTTTGTTTTGGGGAAAATTGGGAGAATTCTTTTACACGTTTTCTGGCAATTCTGATTATACTCTTTGTGAGTACAATCAGTGGTTTGCACCTTGTTTACCCCCCCCCCCCCTTCCATTAATGAAGGCCTCTGTTGCTCATAAACTTTGACAATAATTTGAATTTATTTATTTAAAAGTGACAGTGCATTTTAACATAGTTCAAGTGCAAGACATGAAACTGATGTGCCGCACACAGGTTTATAGCTACTGCTAATTTTCAACAATTGTCCCTTGTTGGGCTTACAATCTAAATAGATGCATTTTACAATAAAACATACATTTTCATAAAACCAAATTACATCATAAATACAATTACAATTAATAGACAATAATTTAAATCAAAATTAAAATCATTAGTTAAAATGACTACATCTTTGATTTCCCTTTAACCACACTTTGACCTTCAATGTAAAGCATCTAATGTCTGTAATCAATTTGATATCGGTTGGAAGTGTGTTCCACAGATGGCAGGCCTTTTACAGAAGGCTACTATCTTGTCTCTGCATGTATCTATTGAGACACTCTGGAGCCATCCTATTTATACATTTAAAAACTAATTTAAGAAAACACAAATGATTAAAACTCTTAAAACTAAGTAGATTATATTTCTTTAAAATGTGACAGTGATGCCACCGAACAGATTTTTTATCCATTATTTTTAAAGATTGGTTGAATTGTAGATGGTGCTGCTTGGGTCCAAACTGTCATACAGTATGAAAAATGAGAGAATATCATAGAATGCATAAATAACTGAGCTGCTGAAGTGGGTATATAGTGCCAAATTAACTTAAAACAATTCAACAACTCTGGGGTTATTCCTACTAACCCCAGAGTGGTCTTGACTTTGCTCTATGTTGCAAAGTGAAAACAAAACAAGATTGTGCAATCATCAGTGGTCTTCCAGGCTTTTCAGTGTTGGGACTAGTGCATTTGTTTTTTTGTTTTTTTTATAAATCTTTCAGATTGTTGATTTGGCCACTCCTAAAGTTTTGTTGTCTCTCTGATAGGCTGGTTTTGGTTTGTCAGTCTAATGAAATCCCTCTTACATTGGCATTTCTTTGGGTCTCATATTCAGACTTCCTGTGAACAGCTACCAAATCCAAGTTAAATACTTGGAATGATCTTCACATCTGCATCTCCTTAATTTATCATGGAATGACAAGAAAGGAGTCTCAGCTGGCAGCTGTTTGTCCATTACAATTGTCTAAATACTTATAGACTCAACTCTAGTATTATTAGTATTGGCATTATTATTATTATTATTTAAACATATAGCAGTGAAGTGTGTTTTTGTTTTCAGTACAGATGATATTTTATTTCTTTCATTATGCCATTAATCTTAAAATTAAAATGGAAAATTAAAGGAGACCTGGTATAATCGTTTCCATTTTCATGCCCTTATTGTTCACAGTTGCAAAAGATCACGAGTTATTTTATACTGACCCTTTATGGAGCTTCTTGGTTCATTCTTAAGCAGTTTTGGGACCTTTCTCTGTTTCTTTAAACTAACTTTCTTGTGATTGGTTGTCCCTCGTAAACCAAAGGTTTGAGTAAGAGATGAGTGAAGTCTTTATGGTGACAGGAAGGGCTGTTTTATTAACAATATTAGGGATATATTTATTCATGACATACAAATCCAGGAGTAGTATGAACCAGCCTTTTATATGAGCCTGGAGCCTGAATGTTTTGCTCACTGGGATTATTTGCACATACACTGACCTCGGGGTATCAAACTTTGATCAAGTTTAATATGAGCATCCATGAACAGTCTAAACATAACATAAGGTAGGAAAAGGAACAATAGCCCCCCCCTTTAAAGTTTTACTGGAAACCAACAGAACTCCAATTATGAATAATTTCTGTTTCTTGTTTTTTGGCTGTTTTCTCTGTGCCATTGAAAATCAACAGTTTTTTTGGTAGGAAGTAGTTCCTGTGAAATTGGCCTCTGGTGTGTTTTGTGGATTATCCAGGTAAATGAAGTCACAGTTTGTAAAAACAAATTCTTTTTATTTATTTTTTTAAGTGTTTTTTGTCAATACTGAAAAGCACACGTTAAACTCACTGCTCTGCTATCTGATATGCTGCAGTGAATTCGTGAATGTCAGAAACGGATACCTTAAAAACTTTGAAAATTCCTCCAATTATATCAGAAAACAATGCAGCACTAGTTCCCAGACTGGGCACTGAAGGGGTTGCAAGACAGTTTTAAAAGGTTATGAGAAGCAAGCATGTTGAGTGTTTCTAATCTTCATTTCTATTATGAAATGTCCTTCAAGTCTATAAATTCAATAAATTCATCAGAATGTATGAATAGAGATGCATTCCACAAAAAGTATATGATTTTATGCTATTTGTTATCTTACTATATTAGTTTTTATTGTGCTACATTGCCAACTTTTTAATATATTTGTATTTTATTTCCTCTCCTATTTGTTAAGATTGCTGTTTTGCTTTATCTAAAATGCATTGATATTAAAAGAACTACTAAAAATAATTATTGTAGCATAATACTAACCATGAGTGACTCCCACTGAGTAATCTTTTCTACCTTAAAAAACAAAATTCAGTACAGGACTTGAGACTACAGAACAGAAACAGATTTTTTTACTGAAGTAAAAGTTCAGAGTAACGTGAGAAAATATTTGTCATAACTTAAGTGAACTGAACTTTAATGTGGCTGGTCTTGATTTGTTTAGTTTCTTGTTGTTTAGCTCTAATAGCACAATTTAATCAGGTCGGTGTGGGAGCTGTGAGAGCCTACAAGGCCGACCAGAGGGGGAAGGAAGGGTGGAGGTTGTGGTGTAGAGGGATCGGAGGAGGGTAAAAAAAGGTAATGTGAGAAAGCTGGAGGTGACAGCTATTGTAGGAAGGTGTGAACGACAGAGAGAGAGAAGAGAAAGATGCGGGGAAGACTGAAAAGTGCTCCCTGTCTTTTGAGGAAGAAGGACCTTTTGACGAGGACCTTCACCTCCTTCTTTCTGCCACCTCCAACCCCACCACCCTTCCTCCTCTCCCCAATCCCCCCAATTAGACAAATATTAACATCAATTAAGGGCCCTCACAGGAACACAGGCTCTATATAATTACCTTAATGGGCGGACGCTTTCTCTCCATCCCTCTCTCTTTCTGTCTCTTTCTTTAGACACTCAATCTCTTAAACAAACTTAGAGGGCCTCAGTGGGAGAGGAGGGGGGAGGGCATGTTGATGGGCAGTTGGGTAAGGTTGGGGGGATGGAGTGGAGGGGCGTCATTTCCCGTTAGCTTTTGTGGTGCTGGTCTTTCTGAAAAGGCCCCAGCTGAATTGGACCTATTGGCCAACAAACAGAGGAGCTGTTCCCACAGAGCACCAAGAGGGGACAATACAGACCCCCAACCAGGAGGAGGAGCGAACAGGAGGCAGGGGGAGACCGGCATAATTTAGGGAGGACAAGCAGGAGATGACTGAAATAGGAGACCATAAAAGAGGAGAGAAACAACAAACATGTGGAACTGGTGAAAAGTGGACAAAAGATGAGGAAACAGAAGAGAGGGAAAAGAGGAATGTAGGAAGGAAACACGGAGGGCCAAAGAGTAGGGGAGGGCGAAGAAGGAAATAAGGAGGAAAAAACACGAGGTGAAAGGTGGGAAGTGAAAAAGAAATGAGAATCAGAGGAGGTTCAATAAGGATACAAGGAAGTGAGGAAGAAACCTTAAAAGAGGCTATGAGGGAGAAGCAAAGAGACAATGAAAGAGGAAAAGAAGAGAACACAGGGAAAGGGAGGAGGGAATGAGGGACAAGGAAAAACACAAAAAAGGAGAGTAAAAAGGACAGAAAAGAAGGTGTGTTGTAAGAGGAGACATGATTAAAGGTAAAGGATGTGAAAGGAGATCTAAATGGTGTCAGCTCGAGACTCCTATCAAATGGAGAGACCTCCACTTTCTTATTCTCATTCTCTTCCTGTCCTCATTTCAGAGCTCTCCACCTCTCATTCCTTGAATCCTTCTTCTACTCATACTCACTTTGTGTCCATTTTTATCATCTTTCATCAGTCCTCCACTTTTTCGCATTTTTAAGTAGTTTAAAATGCCTTTTTTCTTTAGTGGGATATTTCATAACTTTGTTTTGAAACTTTTTTACTCACTTCTTCCAACAGACATTAGTAAGCTGATTCCTACCAGTAAGGAACAAAAGGTGCTGGACTCCTGCCTGGTCACCCCATCGCTCATCATCCTCTAGAGGGTGGCAGGTGTTCAGGACTATAGTGAAGGCCTAAGGCCCTTGCTGAGTTGCTGGTTGTCAAACTGAAGATCTACAGATGCTTCCCCTGTGAGTGTTGATGGAAAGTTGTGTAAGAGACCAGTAAAATGGTTTACTTATTATTCAGACAAAAGACCCTTTCAGACACAGAGAGCTGGAGAAACTATGACTGAGTACTCATTCCTGTAATATTCCTGCACTCAGGGTGCATTCATAGTTAGGGTATTGTAATCTAAATTCTCAGCAGATCATAAAAAACAGCCAGGTACACCGGTGTCCGCTCACTGGCTTATGATGAAATTTACATGACTCTTTTCAAGAGGTCTTTAGTCGACCAGCAGATAGTAAAATCGAGGCTTTAATTTTGCATGTTTCAATTTAAAAATATATGGTTTGGGGTCGATCCATCCATCTCTTCTAGGTCAACATTGATGATGACCCCCAACCCCACCCCAGAACATCAACCCTACCTTTTGTAATTAATGAAAAAAGTACATTTTTTGGGATAAAATGTTGATAGTTTTTGATGTGTGTCAGTTCAAATTGTAAAAAATAAAATAAAATAAAAAGTTACATATTCTGATATATAATATTCTGAATTTTGATACAGTAACCATTAACGTCGCCTCTGACAATGGCTTAGACCTCATGGGGTTACTACTTATCCAAGTAGAAAAAAAATCGAATAGAAAGACAAGTCAAGTCAAGAACTCACTAAAGGAGATAGGAATGTGGTTATTAAAGTCTGCAATCAAGAGATGTTGTTGTTAATAGAAATACAGTGGGGTTTTAGCAAGTTGAATATTAGTGGTTCCACACAAGATTACACTTGCAAGAGAACATATAAAAGAGTCTGTTCAGTTTTTGAGGAAAAAAAATCTTTGGATGGATGAAAGCTAAGCGCTATACAAATGCAGGCCATTTTACTTGTACCAGAATGACAGGAAGACAAAAGTCTGAAGAATGCTAAAAAAACAGATTAGACAGTGCATCACAGTGCAAAAGTTTGATGATCTCAAACCAAGAGACCATGTTTTCATCTACTTTTAGCTGACAAAACTGCAGGAAGAGAAAACCACAAACAAGCAGCAACTGAAGACAGCTGCAGTAAAGGCCTGGCAGAACATCTCAAGGGAGGAAATGCAACATTTGGTGTTATTCATGGATTCTAGGCTGCCATTGACTACAAAGGATTTTTGAGCCTCTGAATACAGGGAACATAAAATGTCTCTTATTCCTATTCAGTGAATGCAATACTTTTGTTAAACCCTTTCAATTAAAGTTGGAAGCCTACACTTTCCTCACATCGTCATTGTTTGATTTCATTCTTTGGGTTGATATAGAGGATTTTGTTTTCAAAAGTGTCATTGTCCAGAAACTTATTGACCTTACTGTCTTATTGCCTGGACTTTCCATATTTGAAGTTATTTTACTTAAGTTTTTTTTTTATTATTATTATTTCAAAATCATGTCTTTTCACATTTAATGATTTTTGATGGTTTTACATGCCAGAAAAGTTTTTTTTTCCCCAAGTTTTGGATCTAAAGTTTATATAATTATAATGGTTGTAAGAGTTTGATAGACTGTTTACAACATGGATACATGCTCCATGAGGGCCATCAGGGTGCCAGTGGAAACTGTGCTACTGTTGGGTAGGTGAGTTAGGAGGCAGCAAGGAAGAAGGAACAGCCGGAGAGTAGAGGTAAGAGTAGGAACTCTAAATGTAGGGATTATGACTACTGAAGGAAGAAAACTGGTTGATATGATGGAGAGAAGGAAAGTAGATATATTGTGTGTGCAGGAGACCAAGTTAGAAGGGAAACATGATCAGGAGCACTGGAGATGGATTCAAGCTGTTCTACTTCAGTGTAGATAGGAAGAGAAATAGAGTAAGGGTAATCTTGAAGGAAGAATACTGAATAGTTGAGTCGGGGAGATGAAGAGAGAGTGAGACAGGATTATGGGTTTGAAGCTAGGATTCGAGAGAGAGGAGAGTAGATGAATGAAGAAAATGAAAGAGAGGAGGACAGATGGGTGACAGTTAGTGAGTCAGGAAATGCAAATTAGGAGGAAGCAAGGGCAGATGTGAAGAGGTTAAAAGTCGCCCAGATGGCATACCTGTGGAGGTATGGAGATTTATAGACATTCCAGTAGACTTTGACCAGAGTGTTTAACACAGTTCTTGAGAGTAGGATGAGACGAGAGAGGATGCTTGGGAAATGGTGAATCACACTGGTACAGATTTTGAAGAACATGGGTGATATGCAGAACTGACTGCAAAATCCCTTAAAGAGGTATAGCATGACGTTATGTGAAAGAGTCCTGACAGGAAACAGGATTTAGGACAATGTACTTTAAGAGTTAGTATGAATGTAAAATATCTGCATTTATATGTCACAGCTCTCTCAAACTGAGATTTTTTTCTTAATATAAAAACATTAAAAAAGGATGCTGCTGTCTTTCATTTAACAACTGGGTGCCACAGTTAACAATAAATGCACAAGTTTTCTTTCAAAATATCGTATGGGATTCTCTTGCAAGGAAAAGTAACAAATGAGCCGATGTCAGCAGATCTAATTATTCGAACTGGTCTTATGCAGCAGAAGCAGAATGATTTGAAGAGACTGATGTTCACTAATTTAGCATTTATCCTTCAAAGGTAAAAACAGGGGCATGCTGAACCAGCACTTGTTACATTTTACACTGGCAGTTAAATTCTCAGCTTTAAAATCACAAAAGAAAAGTGCAGGAGGGACTTTTAAAAAGAAAAGTTTTTCTATATATAGTGTAAAGTAAATTGTCAAAAGAAATTGACATTAGCCAGAGAAGTTTGGCTTTTTCTTGTCCCAATCATACCACTGTTTCTCCCCTCATCCCTTTTTGGGGAGATGTAACAACTGTAATCATTGGTTCAGTGCAAAAACTCTTTTACTGTGATGAATGTCAAATTTTGCCAGATATAAATAAGGTATTGTTGCAGCCTTAAAATGTTCCAGTTTGTAAAGTGAAAAATTCCCAATGAGTTGAGCGTCACAGAGCCAACAATGCATGATTGAGACACCAGGTGGAAGAAGGAAAATCATCACCTTCAACAACATTTTGGAAACTGGCATTGTATATATACTGGTACGTTATCATTATAACACATTTAATATGTGTTGCTACGTTACAAACCTTAGTTATCTTGGCTTGTAGCTACATGGCAAAATAGCTGGAATCAAAGCACGATTTTGTGCTTTAGATTTTGAAAAAACAGCTTTTGAAATGTAACATTGTGATCCTGACTGGGTGACACTGTTGCACTTCAGGCACATATCTAACTGTTACATAGTTACATAGGTAATGCAAACAGCAACTTTATTCGTTTGTTTTAGGTAAACCAGCTTTTGGAACGCGACAGTGTGATCCTGACTGGGTACCATCATTATACCTTGGATACGCAGAAGTCTTTGTGGCTGCGGTTAATGGAAAACAAAGAGAATATAAGCTTCTGCATCTGCTGCTGCACTATAACACAAATTCTTGTAATGAGATATTATTTCATATTAAATGACAAAACTATTGCTAAACTACGCAGTTTAGCGCAACTATAATATATACATGTAGTATATTATTAAAATGCTATATTTAATATCAAGTCAAAGTTTATGCATTACAAGGTTGTCCACAATGATATGAGATCGAAATAAATAATTCAAAAGGCAGAAATATTACAATACAGTATGAAAGAGTTAATAAAATAAAGTGTTTAGAGATTTTATTGCAAAAAATGCTCGTATGTATGTATCACAGAGTCATGGCTCTGTGACTGACACATGTAAATGTGACCTTGAGCTTGTAAGACATTTGTATTCTCACCATAAATGGTTTTTAAGAAAATGTCATGGAACTCAAGCATCGGTAGCTTCTAAAAATAAAGTGACCATTCTTTGTGTTTATATGGATCAGCCCTTGGTAGTAATACTAGCCTTGTTGTTTACATAGCTTTTTTTCTGTATCGTGACATTCTGTTGATCTTCTCAGGGGTCATTTGGGTGCTTTTTCAGTTAATGTGTTCTCTTCCTTATCACCTATTAGTCTATCTTTGATTTGGATTTGTGTGAACAAAGACATGGCGACGACTAGCCAAAATGGATTGCGATTCCCGAACTCAGTGGACAAAAACATTTCATCCCCATTAGTTACAGTCTTTAAAAGTCAGTCAGCCCTTTATCTGGTAATTTTGTGTTTGTTCATGGTGATTTGGCACATTTTGTGTTCATTTTGTATAGCTTCCCGGTCAGTTTCTGTTTCTTTATGGTGATTTTGCACCTCTTATCGATATCCTACATTTTTTGTTCCCTCGTGGACATTTTGTACTCTTTCTGGGGTCATCTTGTGTTCTAGTTTGTTTTTATTTTGCAACTCTTTCTGGTCACTTTTTCTCTTTGTTGGAAATTTTGAATCCCATTTTGTGTTGCAAATCACTTCAGATTGTGTCCCCTTGAGCTTTTGCATTTGGCCAGTACATCTGTTTAGCAATCTATCAATCTCCTCTGCAAAAACTTTAATGGGAATCTCGACTTTGACTTAATTCACACACAAGTTTTGCAAAGAAGTAAACACGTTTCGGTTTTCAGCATGTTGTCGCACTGTACTGAAATAAATGGACTTCACTAGCAGGTTGGAAGGTAACAGAAAGAAAGATTTTCAATCTAAAAAGCTTTGGATAATGGTGCAAAAATAAACACTGAGATGGTCCTTTAAAGAACAAAGCTAGCTATTGCTGCAGTGTGGCAATTCAAAACTGCAAAATGACAGTGAGAGCCCCCAGAAGAGAAATAGTATGAGTGTGCAGCTGAAAACAAGGTGACATTTGTTAGAGATCGTCTGATTGACGGCAACGAGTTTATTGTTGAGCAGCCAGTTGGACACACGGCTCTCACTAAAAACTTGGCTCACACAGAGACAGCTGTATTGGAAAATGCAGCTTGTGCCAACTGTGTTAATATCTGTGTTCTCTGTGGAGTTTCATTGAAGACGTGTTTGTGTGAATTTGTGCCCTACACCCCCGTCTGTAGGCGCACTCTGAGCCTTTCTGCTCCAAACAGCATCCAAACTCGCAGGCGGCTCGCTGCTGCTGAGGTGTAACACTGAGAACCAGAATAATCACGTCAACTGTTTCCTTTTATTGTAGCTGTTCAGAGTCTCCGTGTTGAAATGTGTGGTGCAGAAACAGAGCCAGCAACTCCAAAAAATCCCTTTGTAGAGATTTAGGAAAACAAGGAGTCACACAAAACCAGCCTCTATCAGCTTTCCAGCATGTCGGATTTTTTACTTCTTTTAATTTAATTTAAAAAAAATTTAATACGTGAAACATTCAAAAAATTTGTTCTCAATGTGAGTGAAAGCAAACACAGGCACCCTGGAAGGACTATTCTGTGGCAGACACTGCAGAACAAGGCAGTAATATACACGGCTTTATTAAACACTTAAATCATTTTAAAAAAGACTCAACAATTAGTCTCTCTCAGAGGTCAAAGTTAAATTAGCAAGCTGCTTCATAAAAGTCTTTAAAATAGTGTTCAGATAAAATACAAAATTTTGATGGGACACTGTTATTTTGAGTCTTTTCATTCAAAGTTAAGCAGGAGCCCCCCTCTTTCAATAAAAAGGAAAAATCCTTTTACTTTTTTAAATTGAAATGTTATTTTGGAATTCCAGATGTATTTTATTTTATCATATGTCATCATTTTATTTCCACACTCATGTTATTATTCCATATTTATGGAATTGCCTATCCCACACTGTGTACAATACAATACTTTGATCACCTTTATTTTTTTGTTTTTATTCTTTGTTTGCTTGTTTCCTTTAAACATACTATATAAATACATTTCATATAGGAATGTTTCATAGATATATGTGTGAATTTTTAAGTTTGTTCTGGCCGCTTTCTTCAACTAGTCCAACTGTCAGTGGATTGTACATTAACATTAACATAGTCCATAGATTTATTTGATTGTGTTACTGATATTACCTGAAACATAATCAAGAAATATTATTGGTAAGAAAATTAGTCAAAATCAGGTCTTGTGCACCTATTTACAATGATTAAATCATTTAGCTGTTTACTGGGCTGTGTATGCACACACTGTTGCTTAAACTATGTGTGTGATTGCTTCACACACA